AGGATGGCGACCGCCGTTTTATGCAGCACGAACGACTAGCTCTTCATCACCGTTGTGCCTTCTTTTTGACCGGGCTCGTCGATCCTTAATCTAGGATGGCGACCGCCGCTTTATGCGGCACGAACGGCTGGCTCATCAACGCCGTCGTGCCTTCTTTTTGATCGGGCTCGTCGATCCTTAATCTAGGATGGCAATCATCACTTTTATGCAGCACGAACAGCTGGCTCTACAGCACCGTCGTGCCTAGTGCGGAATCGCATCTCACTTATGGCTTATGCATGCCTTTGCGCCCAAGATTATTCAAAGACTTATTCAGGAATGACAGGAAAGGACGTGAGCAAGAGTATACTTTCTCGAGTGGATTTGCAGGCTCACTACTCAAGAAACTGGGGGACTTGTGTTGGGGAATATTATCCCGGCCTACTACTGTTCAGAGGCCCAAGATATCACCCTGATATGAAGCTCAGTCAGCAAGGTCAATTTAGGCCCACCCGGTCCGTTGAGAGCCATTTAGGCCCACTCGTCCTGTCCGGCCCATATCAGCCTGATAAAGCCGTCCAGCCCATTAGGCTAGAAAGCCCCTGTCCCCCTCCTATAAATAGGAAGCTTGGCTTCCATATTAGTGATGGGTTTTTCTCCCCCTGATTGTTTTCCTTTTATCATTTCTAGCTTAGAAGGCTTGTTCCAACCTCCATGAATGGAGTTCCAAGAAAACTTGTAGTATGTAATTGAGTGATGGGAGGGTAATAATGAAAAAGAGCGAGCTTGGACGTTAGCCTAAAAGTGACATGGTTTTCTCCCTTTCCGGGTTTCCGCGTAAAAAGAGCTAGTTCATACACTTTTATATACTTATTTACTTTTATACTGAATCCATCGTCCTTAATATCTGAAGTTTATGTTGGGCTTCCGGATCTACGGGACTAAACCTCAACAACTTCGTTTCAACACCGTCAAAGTTACACGGCCTTCGGTGACACCGCCACAGTTACACGACCACCGGTGACACCACCACAGTGACACGACCTCCGGTGACACCACCACCACAGTGACACGGCTTTTGATCAAAGTGAGTCAAAGTGGCACCTCCACGATGTCTCCATCCACGACCTGCCACCTTCGGTCACCACCGGCACATGACCTTCCACCTTCACCCACCGCGGGCGACCACCACTTCCCTCCGTAGATAACCTGCCACCGCCACTCTCCGCCGGGCAGCCTCACCAGCCCCATCCCTGTCACCCCCTGCTGCCTCACACCCACACTCAGCCCACACTGGCAACCCACCAACCGCCGTCAACCCCAACCGCCGCCAAACGCCGCCGCCCTAAACAATGACCCCACAAGCCCCATCCCCAACCCCCAGCTCCCAACCCCTGTAAAAACGCTGCACAACACACCCCACCATTCCACCATCGTCCCCCGCCGCACTCCCCCTGTAACTCACCCCTAACCACCAAAATCAGATCTAAAACCCTAGTCGTGTCATTTCCGTTGCAATCAAAGCAATCATTTCACCCTAATCGCTCCATCTCCGCTGCAATCGAAGCCACCGCAGAGATCGAGATCCAGATCCGTCGTCTCCATGGTCATTGCTGTCGCCGCAGCCATACCGTCTTCATCTCACCGCCTGAATCGAAGTCCCTGCGCCATGTCATGTGGCTAATGGTGTGGACCGGAGCTTGCGACCAAAAGACTAGAGCTGGAGGGGAAGGGGAGTTCGGAGATGGGGAATGGAAGGGTGGTAGGCGAACGAGAAGATGAATTGTTGAAGATGAACAGGATGAACGATAGTGCGAAGGGGGAAGGCGGAGATGGCGACGGCGGCGACGGAGACGGCCTGGGGAGTGGTCTCCTCGGCTCCCGCGATGGCATGGGGAGATGTCCTCTCTGCTCCTGCGATGGCCTTGGTTGATTCGGATTATGGTTTGGCTCCATAGACGAAATGAGTGGGCTGGGAAAGTAATGAGCTAGATAAGTCATATTTTTGGGAAAAAAGAAAAGTAGTCACCTTTTTGTATTTCCTAAAGCTATTAGTAATATTAGTGTCCTTATTCCTGTTTTTAAATGAGCCATTTCGTATATAAGTTCACAAAATTAACCTTAGCACCTATTACTAGGGCAGAGCACGAGTCAGGTTCGAACGGGTCGGGTTCAAAATTTGTAAACTCGTTCGGTTATCGGATTGATAATTTCAAACCCTACCCTATCAAAAAAAATATCGAGTTTTTCGGGTTGAAGAAGTTCGGGTTGCGGTCGGGTTGCGGTCGGGTTGATTCGGTTTTCGTGTCTATTTGAATTTTGATTTATTATTATTATTGAAATTGTGATAAATAAAATGATAATTGGTAAAACTATCATTCAAAGCTATTCTAGTATAACATTCAAAGTAATAGTTATATAATCACGGTAATCGACATATTTGTACATGTAAAACAATAATATACGATGATTGGCAAATTTGATATTATGATAAATAAAATGATAATTGGTCAAAATGTCATTCAAAGTCATAACAATACAACATTCAAAGTTAGAGTTGTACAAATACGGTAATTGGAATATTTGAACATGCATAATATTGTAATTGGCATACAATAATTGAGATATTTGAACATGCATAATAATTCAAAATAGTATACAGAGTATATACTACGCTAGTTCGGGTAGTCGGGCGGGTCGGGTAACCTAATTTATAACCCTACCCGCTACCCGCTTAAGTCACGGGCTGCAAGAATCGGTTCGGGTCGGTGTATTTCGGATCGGGTTTTCCAATCCAAACAAAAATTTCGGATACATCCCATCGAATCAATCGGATAGGGTCGGGTTTGCTCTCCCCTAAGACCATTTGGAGTGGTCTGAGAGTCTAAATGTCAAAAATGGACTCTGTCCATACGAAAACAATGTTTTGACTTCTATTTCTCTGCATTCCAGCACTGTCAATAAAATACACTCTGCATATTTTTTTACATATCAATTTAGTAAAACATTAATTAAAATATTCTAAGTAATGTTTTCCTTTTAATTTTTTCTCTGATTAATTATAAAATAAAAAAGACACATTTCGATGTAAAAATAAATAAATTTCATTAATTGTTTTTAATTTTTTTCGATTAACAAAAAATGAACTTCGTCCAAGTAAAATTCGATTATGGAATATTCAGTTATTTATGAAGGCTCCATGAATTAAAAATCTGCGTTTCATGTTTTTTAGTCCTAAAAACTCCAGTATTAAAATTTTAAATATTTTTTCTGAACATTTATATATGCAATATTGGTGTCCAATGAAAGATTATAAAATTTTATAAGTTTTGATATACTTTTTGTAAAATTTGGAATACAAATAAAAAGGTTACATACATGAAAATGAAAAGAAAAAATGGCAAAAGTATTAGTTGTGGGGTTTTGAAAGACAAATATATGACCATTTTACTTTTTTCCAAAAAAGTAACCGATTATAAGCGCCTCTCTCTCCCCCACATTTACTCTCACGCACAAATCTGCGCAATTGGATCTAGCCATTTGAATCTACGCAAGATAGCTTCTCCATCTCCGCTCAAAAAAGCCGCACCTCCATCTCTGTCAACCAGAGCTGCATCTCCATTGCGGCAAGCCAGATCCGCACCTCCATCGCCGCACGCCGGAGCTGAACCACCATCGCCGCATGCCGGAGCCGAACCACCATCGCCGCACGCCGGAGCCAAACCGCAACGCCTCCATCATCACCACCGTTCGACCGCCGCACCTCCATCACCAAAGTTACTTCTTCTCTTCTCGCGAGCTCTACATCTACTTCTAGTAGACTGTTGCCGTCGATCTTCACCTTTCCGGTTGGCAAGGTTTCAACGGCATTCGATTTCGATCCCAGTGCGGCGAAAACGGGCTGGCAGCTAGGGTTACTGGCGGAGCTTGTTGGATGGCGGTTGGGGGCCAGGGTTCGGGACTGTGGGTTGGGGGCTAGGATGTACTGCTGGTTGGAGCTGAGGGCTGAGGGCCTAGGGCAGGTCCGATGGTGTGGGACAGGGCCGATGGGGATGGGGCAGGGCTTGTGGGGGTGGGGTGTGGCTATGTTGATGGGGTGCGGCAGGTCTGGAATGATAATGAGGGCAGGTCTAGGGTAATGGGGGGGTAGTGCAGGGTTGTGGGGATGGTGGTGGGGCAGGGCAGGCGAAAGGGAAGGGGATTAGGGTGCAGGGGAGGGGGCTGGGGACATGGAAAGGGGACTGGGGTGCAGGGGAAGGGGGATGTGGGGCTGGGGTGCAGGGGAGGGGGAGGGGAGCAGTGGAGGGGGATGGGGCTGGGGTAAGGAGCGGTGGAGGGATGGGACACCGGAGACGGCGTGTTACTATGGCGGTGTCACTGTGGGTGATGGGCGGGCCATAACTTTGGCCGAAGTCACTTTAGCGGTGTCACTGTGTCCGGCAGCGGTGATCGGTGGTGGCGGTGACCGACGGTGGCGGGAGTGACATATATCTTATAGTGACATAACAGTCCGATAGTGACAAAAAAATGACAGTGACATCATGTTTTCCAAATATGTGACCTTCTTAGTCACATTTTTGTTTTTTTAAAAAATGATCACATTTTTGGAAATCAGATTAAATTTAGTAATATTCAAGGAAAAAAACCCAAATGAAAAAGGTTTTTTGATAAGAACTTCATTTAAAAGAACGGTAGGTCCTTCTATATTTCATTTTTAATACCCTCGTCACCAATGTAAGAACTTAGGAATACAAAAGTTCTGTTTTTAACATTTTGGACTTCCAATGCACTTCCGCTACAAATGGTCTACAAATGGAGTAATTATTAGGAAAATTTTCCACTTTTGGTCCCTCGAGTATTATACCACTTCCGCATTACGTACCTGACTTTCAACTTGTCCACATTTAGTCCCGACGTTTTCTTCCTTTACCATCCGTCGTCCTTCCGACCAAAACTCCGGCCGGTTGAATCATTTATTAAAAAAGGGAAGGTTAGTCTAGTAATTTCATAGACTTAAAACGGCTAGAAGTCCATTCTCTGCATACCTGCGCTTACTCTATGAAACTTCCGGCTGAATGAGGGCGATTACTCTGCGAACCCTAAAACCATACCGGTGAATGAGGACGCTTCCGACTGGAGTTTTTGCAATCAGAATGGGGCGCAGATCGAATGGAGAAGGAAGAAGTTGTCATCAAAGTTCTTCATCAAATGTTGCTGGTAATGGTAAGTTTGTTGAATTGATGTACAAATGGTGCTCGGTAGGGTATGATTTTGTGCTCGGTAGGGTAGGGTTTTGTTGTTGAGAATCTTTTTTCTCTTTACTTTTTGGGATTTGACAAATGGGACCAATTCTTTTTCCTTTTTCCTTTACTTACAATGATTGAACTACCACATTAAATGTTTTTTATGCAGCCCCATGTGATACCACGTTTACTCTAAAGTTGAAGTACGGAGGAAGAGTGAGTGAGACTAGCAGACCATTTTACAGGGAGGTACTACACATTTGTTTTCTGATGTAGATGTGGATGAGTTTGGCTTAATTGTGTTGAAAGAGAAACTAGAAGAAGTTGGTTGCACAAAGAAGTTAAGAAGAGTCTTTTGCTATTCAAATTCTTCACTAAATGAACTGAAAGGTGACTCTGAAATCTGGTCCTTTGTGAGTAATGGCAGTGTGGGTAAAATTGTGCATACATGGATGCAAAAACCACAAAAATGTTATAATGCACACGCCTAGTCTGCTGCAAGAGTATCTTTTGTGCTCTATCTTCTCCATCTTATCTTTTTCGTTTTCTGGTTTCTCAGCTGCTTCCAGCTTCATCTCCAATGTGTGAATGTGGTTTTCATATCCATTCAGTTTTCTTAACAACCCTGGAATGATTTTCTTGGATCTTTTACACATTGGAGGGTCAAACCAGTCCATCAAACCACACCCTTTAGACCACTGCAATCACATAATACAAATACTTACAAAATCAATCATCTTAAAAAATATGGAAAATTTTAAAGCTGCATCATGCTACTAATACCTCATTTCCAACGCATTTCCAAAATCTTCTCCCACAGTTTTCTGGTTTCCATGTAGTCAAAAGCTTCAATTCTTTCCCACATTGACAATGTTTGACCGGAATCCACTCTCCATATTCATACCGGCCTGTTGATTTCGAGGTAGTTGAACTGCTGCTATACATGGTGGCCTTCGATCTTACAGAGGTTGTCGTTGGAGTGAACAGGGAGGAGTGCCTACGAAGGAGGAAAACGACGGACTATAGATGGAGTTGTCGTTGGAGTGAACAGGGAGCTTACAGAGGTTGTCGTTGGAGATTTAGGTTTAAATGATGGATAATGTAAGGGGTATTAAAGAAGGGGTGGTTACGATACAGATGGAGTTGGCGAGGAAGAAGTGAAGACCAGCCTATGAAATTACTAGACTAACCTTCCCTTTTTTAATAAATGATTCAACCGGCCGAAGTTTTGGTCGGAAGGACGACGGATGGTAAAGGAAGAAAACGTCGGGACTAAATGTGGACAGGTCAGGTACGTAATAGGGAAGTGGTATAATACTCGAGCGACCAAAATTGGAAAATTTTCTAATTATGAGTAACGTTCCCTTTCATCTTTGTACCGATGACATAGCTCTTCCTCAATTTCTTACGTACTCATACCTGCGGCCATGGTTCTCGACTTCTCCCTGCAACCTTCTCCGCTTCACGCTGATGCCCGCCGTCTTCGTCGCGCGCCGCACCGTCAACTTCGTCCCGCGCCGCTACCCAGCCACTTTCTCTTTCTTCTCTCTTTCTGTCAGACCCCATGGATGGCGACGATTCCCGCGACTGAGAGCGAAGGGATATCAGAATCCAAGCACGGTATTGTACAGATGAGGAGGACTCTGGCTAAGCTACTGTTTCCTTCGGCGGCTCGGTTGGAGACTGCTAATTCTAGATCTGATCCGGCGGCTCGGATTTGTTGGTTAGAGTCAGGCGGCGGCGGACTAGGGATATGTGAATCGGGGACAGGGGCGTGGGGCAGGGGACAACATGCTGTTTGTGGTATGGCGGCTGCGTCGAAGTGGCTTCGGCAGCGTCGAAGTGGCGGCGGCGCAGCGTCTGCGGCGCTGTTACCGTAGCTTTATATGAAAAAATATCATTGGGCGGTTTGTAAATGTAAATGTAGTGGTGGACATAAAACCCGAACCGAACCGGTACCAAACCGTCTCGTAATTGTACCGAACCGAATACTGGGTATTTAAAGGCTTCTGTAGATTTGTGTCCCGTACCGAAATCGAACTGTTTGAAACGGGTACGAGACCAGTCCTAGATTTTGAGAATAAAAAAATACCGGACCGAACCGTTCGAAAATAATGCATTTGAATTTTTTATAATTTATCTATACCAATAGATCTCTTTTACAGACAAACAATTTTATAGCCCACATATGTATTCATGTGTTCCTAAACTAGCTAAATGTGTATGTTTATATTATATATATATATATATATTGTTATTTTTCCTTTTTAGATAATTTATGTTATATTTTGATATGTATTGAAAGAATATTAAAATTTTAGAAATGATCAAGGGCTATTCATTTCTAGTAGGCTTGGATTCAGTTTGGGCCACCCGGCCTGCTACTGTGCGGGCCCGGGACTGGCCCGGTCTAGTGGTCCGGGACCGGGTGGAGACTCGAACCAGGGGGGAGGCGGGGTGGGCACGTTTCAGGCAAAAGGCGACCCGGCCCGGCCGGGTCAGGCCCGGGTCGGGTCCAACGGGTCGCCGATGCTTTTTCAATTTTGAGAATACCGATTATGTGAGTTATTTTGCTGGTTTTATGAATGAAAAGTTTTTAAATTATTATTCACATATTCCGCATATTTATGGTATTGCATTTGTTCTCGATCCTCGTTTTAGAATTGGTTCTTTAGAAGAATGTTTGAATTATTATTATGCTGCTTTTTTGGTCCAATGTCAATGTATGACGACAACCCAATTGATCTAAAAAAGAATACAACGAGGTTAGTGATATATTTTATGCATTATTTAAAGAATTTCATGCACAATATGGCAACGCGTCCCCTCCCCCGACACAAACCTCTTCATCTAAAGGAAAATCAATTTTGAAATCTACATTCGTCAATCTTATTAAAAAAACTAAAACAACACCCGCTACTCAACAAAGCACAGTTAATGAGATTTCTTTGTATTTAACATATGATGTTGATTTTGAAGAAGATGGTGCCTTTGACGTTCTAAACTGGTGGAAGGGAAAAGAAAGAATGTTCCCGGTTTTAGCAAAGATGGCTAAGCAAGTGCTATCAATGCCGGTTTCAACAGTTGCCTTCGAACAAGAATTTAGTTCGGCCGTCAATGTCCTAACGCAATGTAGAACGAGGTTGAGCGCAGAATCTCTTGAGATGCTTATATGCTACCACGATTGGTTGAAGGCGGCCCGTGGAGCTCAAGAAATTGACATCACCCCATCCCAACACTTTATGGATGAATCTACAACCGAGAGTGCCTCTACCTATTACGGAGATTCCGATTGATTAGTATTTCATATTGTATTTTTTTCTTAATTGTCAAATGTAGTTCCTATTTCAGTTCAAATAAATGCACTTGAAGTTTGTTTTTAATACTTGTATAAAACTATAAAGTATAAAAAATTGATTTAACCGGCCCGGCCCGGCCCGGCGGGTGGCCCGAACCGTGACCCGGGCGGGTGGCCCAGCCCGAATCGGAACCGCCTTTACCGCGGGTCGGTCTCGGACCCACCTTTCACAAACCGGCGGCCCGACCGGGCCTAGGCCTGGCCTGAATCCATGCCTAATTTCTAGTAATGTAGTGTACATGACTTTTTGTGGTATCATGTATGCGCAATTTTACAACTTAATTAATATGGTTTAAATCTTAACTCTCAAGGTTCAACTATAAATTAAATTAGATAATAATATGTAATATTTAACCTAGAATGAAGAAGAAGAACATTGAAGATTTCTATTACATTAAACAATTTGATTATATTCTTTTTTATATTATCACATGAACTTAGTAAATTAAAGATGATATTTATCTCGTGCGTCATCGTTTTGCTATACTTTTTCTTAGTTGCGTTGCACTATTTGTGTATTTGTGAAGTTTAGAACTACATATGCAATTTCTTGTATTTATATCAGTATTTCATGTGAGTTGGTTGGTGTGAAGATATCTACCAATTGCAGGATTTGTTCAAATTTTGTAGCATGTGTTTGGCATTGTATCATACCATTCTGTATCGTTCCGAAATAGCATTGTTGAAGACTATTTATTGTGAATCAAGTTTGTCTGTCTTGTCTGTAATAAGTTAGATGTTTACTATTTCTATTCTGTACTGATTAAATATATCTGTTAGAATAGTATACAATATGGGCCAAGTGTTAGGCCCATACTCAGGCAAGAAGCCTTTGTACGCATACCTGAGCCTCGCCTATAAAAGAGGGAGGAGGACTCAGGTTTGCGGTTAACTTTCGTATCTGCTCAAAATAGCCTTAGCGCTTATCATTCTTGTACGAAAGATTCACGGTATATCAGAGAAGGTTTACACTTGATCTTTCTGTGTTCATCCTTATTGTTAATCTTTCATCTGTATGCCATATTATACTGTTGTTATAGAAAACAGGGACTAACAAATGGTATCAGAGCCGATCGAGAGCTGATCAGAAGAACTTTCTGCGAAAGACTCTGTTTTTGTAGAATAGCGAGTTTATCATCTGTAATCTTTTTTCTGCACCAAAAGTTGTAAAAGTTATACTGTTAGAATCGTGTTTGAAAGCCGATCAAGCAGTATATCTTCTTTTTCCGTTTCCGCATTTTTCTGTTCTCTGTAAACTCGCACCCAAGAACTCGCATCCTTTGTTTCTCTAAGCTCTGTGCAGCTTTTTGACCTGAAACTTGGGTGAAAGGATCTCTACATCAAGGGCTACAACCTACCATATTTGTTTTTCTGAAAATCTGAAGTTTTATTTTTTCAGGAATTCGCAGCCCAAGGTGTTTTTGCTTAAACTCGCAGCCTGCAAACTCGAGTTGAGAAACTCGCTGTCTGCAAACTCAAGCTCAAGAACTCGCAGTCTGAAACTCGCAGTCTGAAACTCGCAGTCTGAAACTCGCAGTCTGAAACTCGCAGTCTCAAACTCGCAGTCTCAAACTCGCAGTCTGACCACGAGTTTTGACCTTGCAAGTTTTCACTTCGAGTTTTGGAACTCGCCTCTTGACCTCGAGTTTATAAACTCGAACTCTCACCTCGAGTTCCCCAGACCTCGAGTTTAGGCTTTTAATACTCAGGAACTCGAGTTCTTGAATTAGTAAATTTTCTGATCTTATTTCTCGAACGGTCAGTTTTCTACAGCTACAGGCATGGCTTCTGAATCCAATGCGCAAGGAAACAGCAGTACACCTCCATCTCTGAGGAAAGGGGAGTACCAAATGTGGAGGACCCGTTTCTTGAACTTCTTAGAACACAAAGATAACTCCGACGCAATGCTGGAATCACTTCTGGAAGGACCAGCTGTTCTAATGATTGACGTGGGAGGGGACTCAACTAATAATCCACCCATTCCTCCGGAAACAAGACGAAAGAGGCCATCTGAATATACTGAAGCAGATAAACTAAGGCTGAGAGGAGACCTTATGGCCAAAACATACCTCCTCCAAGCCATCCCCAATGAGGTGTACGTGATGATTGACAGTATGCAAACTGCAAAAGAAATGTGGGGTGAGATTGAAAAATTACTCCAAGGCACAAGCATAAGCCTGAAAACCAAGAAATCCGCTATTCTAATGGCTTATGACTCGTTCAAGGCTGCTCCCGGAGAACCTCTTCACGAGACTCATGCCAGGCTTGTGAAGTTGATGAATGAAATGAGGAAAATCAAAATATTCAGAACCAACCTGGAACTGAATACTAGATTTCTGTCCAGTCTGCACCCATCTTGGAATAAAACAGTAAAAGACTTGAGACAACGCATTGACATGGATGAAATTGATCTCTTCACCTTGAATGAACTGCTAAAGGAGTTCGTCAATGACGTTGTATGCACTGAGGAACAATCAAGCCCACATCCTCTAGCTCTACTAATGGAAGCTCAGCCCAAAAGAACGTCGAAACCTCTGCAGAAGAAGAAGAAAAAAGTAGTAGAGGTTGAATCTGATGAAGATGAGAGTGATGAAGAAGGAACTGATCTTGAAGCTGAGCTTGCAGATCTCCAGAAGAAGATGGCACTGCTGGCCAAGAAGTTTGCCAAGAGAAACAGCTCTTCAAATAAGCTGCGAACCTCTTCTTCCAACTACAAACAAAAGAACCAGGACCAAAGCTCAGCCAGGAAGGCTACATCAACTGCTAATGCTCCTGTGTGCTATAACTGTGGGAAGCCTGGACACATCAGCAAAGACTGTCGGCTCCCAAAGAAGAGAGATGCAAACTTCTACAAACAGAAGATTCTAATGAATAAACAAAAGCTCTTCTTAGCACAACAGGAGGAAGCAGAAGCCTCTGGCAAACATGCTGAGCTGGTCCAGTGGGCGGAAGATGATTCTGAAGAAGAAGAAGAAGAAGAGAACTTCGCCTTGATGGCAAGGCTGGAGGATGAAGAAGAGACAAAGGGTGATGCTGCGATCCCCGGAAGCGAATGCTCTACAAGCACTGTAAGTACCTCAAATCACTCTCACACTATACAAACTCAGTCCTTACACAATAAGGACCACCTCATTAAAGAACTGCAGGAGAGATTAGACAATAATTACAGGGTACTGAAACAGAACCTTGACCAAAAATCTTCCTTAAGCGTTCAACTTGAAAATGCCAAAGATCAAATCAAAAGGGTGTCCTCAGAATTTGAGAGCTTTGAACTTAAAATAGCTGAACTGACTAAGAAACTGCAAGACAGTGAAGTTGAGAAAAACACAGCTAAAGCTGACTGTGAATTTTTAAGAAATAAACGAAGCAGCCTTTTAAGCAAAGTAAAGGAACTTGAGGATGTATGTGTCAGAAGAGGTCAAACCGAACACACAGTTTTTCTAAATCGTATAAGCGACGTTCAGCATTACAACCCAAAAGCTGGTCTTGGACTGCCGAACCCGCGTCATTTAAAGAAAGTTGACTGCCGCCAGTTGTATGATGCAACTTACTTAACTCTAGACATTGATAAGAAAATGAAATTTGGGAGTGAAGAAGAAACCACTAGAGAAGAAGAAGAAAAAAGGAGTAATCCTAAAATTGAAACCTCTTTTGACTATACTCCTCTGGTTTAGAAAGCCCGTTCTAAAGAAAAGGTAATCTACAACGAGGAGGGGTTTGATATTTTTAATGTCCCAAAAGGGGTTCCATATTACGAAAGCCCAATGGGTCCCACTCCTAAAACTGGAATTTTTAAATCCGGACAGGACAAATGCATCTCTCCACTGGTCCAAAAATATGCAGATCTTCAGA